CCAGAAATGTGGTCATGTTATGCTAGAACCTTAAATAACGAAGGATACACCAATAATTTCGCTGAAGTAGCGCACAGGCGTCTACAGTCCGAATTTGGTGTTTCACACCCCACATTACGGAAATTCATAGATAGTCTCAGACGTGTTCAAAGATCAATTGATCAATGTTATGAACAATTTGTACATGGAGAGGAACCGCCGCACAAGCGGAATAGGTATCTGCGAGCTGATATGAGAATTAAAGTAATAGTTGAATGATATGAGAATTAAAGTAATAGTTGAAGATTTTGAAAATCGAGAGATAATGGAATACCTAAAGGGTGTGGCACATACTTTTGCAATTAATTAGTATAATAACAGTTCTGTTATGTAATCTTATTTATCTCTAATCTTATTTATGCGTAATATTATTTATTTGTAATTATATTTGTCTGCAATATAACTTCTTTGTAACCATTTGTTTAATTACGATTTCTGTATTTTGCCTTTTTGATGCTGTTTTGTGAAATAAATAAATAAATAAAAACAACCTCCTTCATGTCCCGGGGCCTTGACGTTGGCGAGGGGGCTTCTCACTAATCTAGAACACACACACAAAATAAAAAAAAAAAAAAAAAAAAAATAAAAAAAAAATCTAGAACACTTTCACACATATACACACATATAATTTATTTCAAATATGCATGCAAACAATCGCTAACTGAATAAATAAAAATCAGTCATATTACTTATTTATATTACTTGATATTTATTCTAAAAATAAATAAAAATACGAAAAAAAATATGGCGTCGAACTGCTCCCGCGTTGAAACGTACGGCGTCGAAGTGCCCCAGCGTCAAAACGACCTGCTTCGAACCCCTGACTCTTGTTAAACATAAAAACTGTTGTACAATTATAGGATTGAATACTGTTTAATATTTATTTTGTTTTACTTTTCAGGAATAGGAGAATCGACGTCGAAAGGGGTATGTTGGCAACCGCCGTTGATTTCCCTAGCGCATGCGCATGATAAGCAAGTTCTCTGCTGCATAATACTTTTATACGTAGTTAGCCAAAGTCAATGGTGAGTATTGCATGTAAGAGAGAAGTGCAAAGGGCTGTGTAATATCATGTTTCTACTCTGCTGTTTAACGTCTTCATAGTTTAAATAAATGTTTGTCATGTATATAGAAGACGTCATTTTATTCTTCAATTTTCTTACGTGTGGGATTACTTCTGTTTTTTACCTGTTCATTTTTAGACTTGGTCCCTTTAAATTGAAAATAATTATTATTCAATTTTAAAGCTTTTTTGCTTGTTTATGATTTTGATGTAAAATTTAAAAAAAAATTACCGTACCTGTATGGTTCCAAAATTTTCATATGTTTTTATTTTTCCATGTATTGGATTGCTTGATTGCTTATATTTTCATGTTTTGTTTCTTGGACTCCGCCTATTCAAAATATTATTTTTAAGCTTTTTAAAGTTTGTTTATGTTTTTGATGTTATACTGTAACAATTTTTTCATTACTTACTTCGATCTTTATTGCTTGGACTGATAAAGACGCAGTATAATTTGATGATTGTTTATAGTACTGAACTTATGTCTTTGTTCACTCAAAACAGGCTGAATTATTTACTTCTTTCATTGCACTAACCCCTTGATGACGATACGAAGAAAGATGCAATTTTTTTTTTTTTTTTTCATTTTTTTCATTTTTTGGTTTTGGCATGTTTTGCCCCTTTCATGCAATTTTCCACTGTGGTTCTGGTTTTTTGGTTTCTGCATACGGTTTATTTCGAATTGAATATAGTATAAAAATTAGAAATCTTCTTTGCAATCATAAACTGTAGCGAAATTATAGCTAGACTGGCTGCGAATTATCGCTAAGTCTAAAATAAGAACTATTGCTACGTCTAAAATAAGAACTATCTCTAGGTCTAAGATGAGATCTATCGCTACGTCTAAAATAACTAAATTGAGAAGGGTGTAAAACACTCTTTTATTTAAAACTAAGAAAAACTACCTTGAAATTTAAATTCAAATTCGAAATTTAAATTCAAACAACTTAGTACCCGAAGATTAAACAAACCAATTAACGCGAAGTTGGCTCGAAACGTAACCGGTGTGGGTATTCAACTAACGGCAATTATAATGCAAGGCCGAAGACTAGAAATTTAAGAACAGGTTTTTATATTGTAGACGCTCTGTCTTACAATATAAAAACCTGTTCTTAAATACACGCAAATTAATTTGCATTCTGGCGGGAAAACGAAAGGGAGAAGTGACAGTAAAGACACAATACATAAGATAACTGGTTCATTAACATAAAAGAACCTTAGAATGGGATAGGATTTAAACGTATTACATAATGTATTTAAACGTAATATTCGCGTACAGCTCACACTATTTTCTCAATTTTTGTACAGATTTATCTAATATTGATGTTTTCTCTTTGTTTCTCTTTTTTGTATCTCTTTTATTGTTTTGTATCTGCTTTTTTCCTCCCTCGCCTTGCTAGCAAAGAATTAAAATTATTTTACGTTATATTTACTATAGAAGAAGTCTTCTGCTATTTTTATATATGATATTTCTCTCTTTCTTTTTGACCCAAAAGGGGTTATTAGTCACGAAATAGGATTTTGAGTTGGTTCATTATATTGGTGGAGTACTTTTCAAATTATTGCTACCAAATATTATCGCTCTGTTTTATTTTTAAATGAATTAAATAATGAAGAATCTGCATGTCTGTATGTAAGTTGCTCTAACTGTGAGAAAACAATGGTATTTACAGCAATCAAATTTTGAATAACGTAGCCCTCCACCCAAACATGTGCACCTGGAAGCCGAATTTATTTTATTTTTTATTTCATGTCTTGTTAAAATTTAACGAATTTTTGATTAACAAACTCAACTATTTAAATGCAAGAACACTGAAATAAAACATTTTTATCTCCACCACACGATGCTGTCGCCATTCGGCAAAATGTCAAATATTTATGATTCAATTTTAATTTATAAACTCAGTTCTATGAAAGCAATGTATCAGACACGCAGCAGAGTTGAAGATAAAAGCATTTTATTACCGCGGTCGGAATTAAAATGCTCTGTCTTCCACGTGCCAGCGTGTTGCCATTCAGTAAGATCTAAGAAATTTTCAAACTAAATCTGGAAGGCTACTGAGTAATAAACTAAGCGATTTAAATGCAATAAACATAGTACTTAATATTAGTGCACAGTACTTAATTTACTTTTTAACGTGATTGATTTAAATAAAATGTATAAGAAACGAAGAAATGAAACATCTAATTAGAAATATTCATTATTTTTATAAAATTACACTACCTGCGATCGTTAATATCATTATATAATACTTCTTATTTTATAATAACTATTTCAGGCGACCCGTCGCGCCAGCTGCTTGTTTTTAAAGAAATAATATAACGAATGCGAAAATATATATGGCCATCTCTAGCCATTCTATCGAATATCCTACGATATGCTCTTTTTTAATGTTTTGTGATTTTTCTATTGAACCGAATTATATGCACTGTACGTGCTAAGAACGTGATATTCAATAAATAACTTTAACATACAAACGTTAACAATAACTTTAACGTTAACAATAAATAGACTAAAAAATTTTTTGTAAATTTTTGTAAGCAATTTTACTTAGAAAACTGAACATCGGTATGATGAACTGAGAAAAGACTGGAAAAACTACAATAAAAATGTATGTCAACACTTTAACGCTGCGCTGCAAGTTCCAATCATATATGCTGCTATGCAGCTTTTAAAAATTTTGTGATTTTGTTTTTGAACTATATGTGACATGTACGCAGGAAACAATGCTTAATAGTAAGGCTTAAAAAAAAAAAAAAAAAAAAAAAAAAAAGCGTTAGCAGGAGTGATTGCAAAAGTAGACTGCTAGCTTAGCGAGAGTGTAAAAACCTTGACATTAAAGGTTTACTTAATAACTGAGGTTTCCTTAATGGGTTTCTTTAGACGACAGTTAAAATTTGAAAAAAAAAAAAAAAAAACCTTCGGATTTTTTACTTAGTACTGATTTTATTTCATTAATTTCATTTTTCGGATAAAACGATATAGTATAAGAGTTGACTGATATTTAATAATGAAATTAACTTGTCATCTATTTTTAACCCAAAGGGGCGTTAACCCAGAAAGGCTATTAGTCACGAAACGGCATTTTGCGTTGAATCACGATAAACGGCGTATCATTTTTCAAATTGTTGCTACCAAATATTATCGCGCTTTGTATTATATTTAAAGAAATTAAATAATATGAATGTATGTATGTTTCTCGCATTGTGAAAAAAAACAACAATACCTAAAGTCATCAAATTTTGAATAACGTACTTTTCTACCCAAATATGGGGACTTGGAAGCCCAAATCTTGAATTCCGAATTTGTTTTATTATCTATTTTATTTTTTTTTAAACTTTAAGTAATTTTTGATTAAATAACCCAACGATTTCAAAGCGAGCAGTGTGAAGACACTGTACAGAATAAAACATTTTTATCTCCACCGCGCGAGACTGTCTATCGGAAATTCTAAAGATATGATATCTTTAAATATTTTTAGCCAAAGGGGCGCTAGCCAAAAGCTCTCGAAACGTGTATGTATGTGTAAATGAAAAATAAAACGCCCTTTTGGCCGTAATATAAAATGTGAAAGCTTTCAGATTTTTTTTTTGTTTTGTTTATTATATTGTTACGAATTTGATATTTAAAAAAAGCTAATGTTAGTTCAATTATAAATTAAATGGTTTTATTTCCACGCAGTGCAGGCGTCGAATATTAAAGAAAAAGCCGGATGAAATAGAGCGTGCATTTAACATTTAATAAATATCCTTTCCAGTACTAAAAATTCCGCAGATTTTAAAACTAAAAAAGGGAAAACTCTCTACCAGAGAGAAGTAGAAGCTATTGAAAACGAGCTGAAGGAGTTAAAAATACCCGTAGAAAAAGTGAGGCAGCTGACCAGCTATAGGGAAGGTCAGATAGTGAAGCTACCCTTGTTTCTAGTTGAAACCAAGCGAAATGATGATGGAAAGAAGATTTGGAATTTGGAAAAACTTCGAGGACTTGATGTCGTAGTCAGACAGTACAAGAAGAAGCCTGGACCTGTGCAGTGTCACAGGTGCCAGCGTTATGGACACTCAAGAGAGCACTGCCATTACAGAGCCCGCTGCATGAAATGTGCAGGCTGGCATGAAACGTTCACGTGCAAAACTCCCAAGGAGAAACTACCGGCGCGCTGTGCGCTCTGTGATGGAAGTCATGTCTCGTCGTACAAGGGATGTGAAAAGTATCCTAAAATCCAAAGAAATGAACCCCAACTCTCAGCGAAAGAGCAGGAAGCTAGATTTAATTTGAATAAAGATGACTTCCCCACCTTGCCGGGTGGAAAAACTGACGAAAACGCCAAAACTTGGCCCAGTTGGGCGAAAGGCGGAAAACCTGAAGAGAACATATTTGATTGGTTCAAAAAGCAGCTTTGCAAAGTGAAGGAACTTTTTACGAAGTTTAAGTCAGCAAAGTCCCTAATGGGTAAAATTGAAGTCGGCATGGAAGCCATCGAATACATTTCAAATATTGAATATGAGTTCTAATAACCATGCTCACGTGACAAATCTGATCGATGCGACGCATTCTTACTTAAGGATATCCCTTTTCAATGCAAATGGTGTTTACTACAAGAAACTTGAATTAATGGACTTTTTATCGGCTCATGATATTGACATTATGTTGATAAGTGAGACTCATCTCAAGCCTTGTGATAAGTTCAAAATCCCAGGTTATAGCGTTATTAGAAGCGATAGGCTCAGGACTACCCGCGGAGGTACTGCAGTTGTGATCAAGAATCACATTAAATTCAACACTATCAAGCTCCCGACGACGACGAGATTAGAATACACTGCAATTCTTGCTAGCAGTACGACCAATGAGAATTACCTTATAGTAGCAGCGTACAACCCCCCGCAGGATATCAACTTACAGGACTTAGACATCATAATGTCGACGAATTTCCCTACCATACTTGCGGGTGATCTAAATGCAAAAGATCGCTCCTGGGGAGCCAGGATGGGTAACAGAAATGGGTAGTCTGCTTAAAAACTATATCTATGCAAATAACTTACAGCTAGTCACCCCAAGTGAATACACTTTCTACTGTCGAAGTGGCGGAAGACATACTAGATATTGCATTACTTAAAAATATTAGTCAGACTCCCTACTTAGAAGTCAAGAAAGAACTGTCGTCAGACCACTATCCAGTAGTGTTTGATTTTCACGGCTTTTACCCTGACCCTCCAAGGAAACGCACTAAAGTGAATTGGACCAGCTTTACAGATAAACTACGGAACATGCCTTGTAATCCCCATCTGAGAGACAGCGGGGAAATTGAAAGTGAAATTTATTCGCTGACTTCCAAAATTCAAAATGCGATTAAGAGTTCTTCGTATGCTTGCAGAGATACCTTGAGGAATAAACTCCCTGAAGATATATCTCGCGACATAAAGGAAAGAAATAGAATTAGGAAAAGGTTTAATGTTACGCAAGACCCTTCACTTAAAAGGACTATAAACTACCTCAACAGGAAAATTCAGGCCGGCATCATGGAATTCAGGTCAAGTAATTGGGATAATCTTTTAGAGCATTTTAGCACTGATACAAGCTCTATGTGGAAAATTGTGAATGCGATGAAAAAAGATAGGACGTATCACATTGCTCCAATTAGTCACATGGGATCCACCCACTATTCTGAAGAAGACATAGCCAATGTGTTCGCAGAGAGAGAAACTTGAGGAGACGTTTAGGCCCAACCCCTCGACCAACCCCTCAGCACGAAGAGGAGGTTCAAAATGTCGTTAACATGCTCAAAAACAGGGATAATACGGATTATATAAAATTCATCTCCCCGAAAGAAGTCCATACTATCATTAAACATATCAATACCAAGAAAGCTCACGGGTTTGACGGGATCAGCAATCGTGCTCTGAAGGCACTCCCTCCAAGGTGTATAGTGCTACTTACAAACATCTTTAATGCTTGCATCAGGACGAGTTATTACCCTTCGCAGTGGAAACACTCGATTATTATCACTATACTGAAGCCGGGGAAAAACCCCTCACTTTGCAGACAGTTATCGTCCTATTAGCCTTCTTCCGGCTATCGGAAAAATATTTGAGAAAGCTTTAAACAACAGAATTACAGACCACCTAGAAAGATTGGATCTGATAGACCCGGCCCAATTTGGTTTCCGGAAACACCACAGTACAACCCATCAAGTACTAAATATCGTTGAGATTATCACGAGAGCTTTTTTCCACAAGACTGGTGTGGCAGCATGCTTCATAGACCTTGAGAAGGCCTTCGACAAGGTCTGGCACGAAGGACTGATTTACAAGCTAAATAACTTTCTTTTTCCTGTCAGCCTTGTGAAGTTAATCATCTCATACCTAAAAAGAAGAACCTTCCAGGTGAGAGTTGGAGACTCCCTTTCCGGAAGGAAAATCATTGCCAGCGGCGTCCCGCAAGGGTCTGTTATTGGCCCAAAATTATTCAACATTTTCGTTAATGATTTACCCAACCCACTGAATGCTAAAACCCTGAAATATGCAGACGACACGGTGATTTTATCGGAATCTAAAAGCCCCCAACTTGCTCTTACTAACCTACAGTTTCACATCAACATAGTAGCTGCTTGGTGTCAACTTTGGAGAATTAAAATTAATACCGCGAAATGTAAAATTGTCCAATTCCGTCGCTACAGAAGAAATGTCACTACGAACACGGATATCAAGATAGAGAATGATGTGATTCCAGTTTGCTCGTCCGCAAAGTACTTGGGAGTTACCCTAGATGATAGGCTCACCTTCAAAGAGCACGTAACCAACCAAGTAAATAAAGCAAACGGAGTTTTCATGTCGCTTTATACTGTTATAGGTAGGAAATCGAAATTGAGCTTAAAAGCTAAACGCATGATCTATCTCACTATGATTAGGCCAGTTATGCTCTACGCCGCCCCAGCGTGGGCAATTGCCAATAAGACGGATAGGAGAAAACTAGAAGTCCTTCAAAACAAAATTTTGAGAGCCATCACTAACGCGCCCTGGTTTGTACGAAATAGCATCATTCATGCAGACTTGAAAATAAAGCCCATTCCTGAACAAATCCTCATGGAGGCGCACAACTTCTTCGAAAAAATGGATAATTCTCCAGTGCACACGCTAAGAGAACTCGGTAATTATGACCCTACGGTGGACAGCGTGGTGAAGAGACCTCGGTCAATTCACCATAATGCGCGGTGGTGATGTAAATATGTAAATAGTGTACATATGAAGTTGTGTTTTGTGCTCTATCTAACCTTATTTAACCAAGTACTGTGTTACTGCCAAAATTGGCTATTTGCCTGGAAGCAGGCTAGAGACTCTGAATTAATTATATGTGTTAAGGACTGTGTATTAAGGACTGTGATCTCACCACGCCCACTGCTGTGGTTCTACTCCTGATTACCTGCTGGACTGCGCACCCTATCTCAGTAACCTTACGCTACTATCCTGACCGAATGCATCATGCATGGACTTGAATGCTGGATGATTTTGTTTTCCAAGTACTAATTTCCCAATTTTCGTATATTCAGCTTGACTTCGCCACGGAATGATTGCACCTTGTTCTAATGTCACGCCCCCGGGCGAGGTGCAGTAGCACCTTAATGTACTAAAAACCGTGAATGGCCTTCATAGGCTGCACAGATTGAACAGGTCAAAACTCAAAGTAGTTGTATACCTGAGGTGAATCAGAAATAAATAATAAAATAAAGTTCGTAGTAGTTACTTAGTTTGTTGTTGTTTAGAAAACTGCTCTTGTTGATTGTAGCGAATTCGCGGATTAGCTTTCTTTAGCTGTTTTGAATTAAGTTCTATTGAACGTTTGAGTAGTTAAAAGATAACTACTGTGAGATATTGTGATACTGCACGATAATTTGAGGAAATTTAAGCATATTTCTTGTGATATAATAAATTTTTGTTCATTTTTCATCGGACTTGTGCATTCATTTCGTAACGAACCCGTACTCACTCAACAATATTTTAATTTACTTAGTTTTTTTATAATTAATACACAATGTTTTTTATTTGATTCATAGAAAAACTGCTTTTATTTTACTAGCTTAATTCGCGCAATACCTGCAAAATTTTTAGGATACTTTTTTTCTGTTTCTTAAGTTTAAATACATTATTCTTAGCATTTCGTTTTAAAAAAATAATTTACTTAGTTTTAATTTGATGTGTAATGTTACAGTCTTTTTTTAGGACTTCTGAATTCCAACACACAAATCTATATCTTTTATAAAATTTCGAAATTTTCACAAGTTATAAAACATAATCTCTGCCATCTTTTGAAACAATATTAAACAGACGATTTTCTAGAATTTTTGTTTTTTAACTAAACATTTTAAAAATATAAACACGGTCAGCCTTTGAGCCGCCATGTGTAACAATTCAGACCGACAGCACGGGAAACATATTTTAAACTTTAATTCATGTTAAATAGGATTTAAATTGCTTTTATAGTAGATTTTATAGTAGTAGTAAGTGCGTTGTGTTATGTTTTCAAATTAAGTTTGCGGTATAATAGTAAATACATATATAGAGCTCTCGGCTAGTACCATGAAATATTGTGTGCATATGTTTTGTAACAGTTTCTAGTATTGTGCAAAATGCAACAGTTTCTAACAAATATTCGTGGCCACAGAACCAACTTTCTGATAAGCATATTGTATATTGATTGTTATTTTGTAGTATTCGCCATTTTATTTCAGTGTATGTACAGTATTCCATTAAGTATCTTGTATAAGTTTTTTTTTTTCTATTAATGTGGAGTGTAATAGTTTAGGGTCGTATAACGATAAGTAAGTGTGATGTATAATAGTAGTAATGAACCAGACTTTCTTGGTTGTAGAACTTTGTAAATATGTATTGAAATGTTTTGCTGGATTTAATGTTTTGAAATGACTCGTATTCTAAATCTGCTACAATATATTATATTCCTAATTTCACTGTGACTGTTTCCAAAGGTTATTGTCTAGTGTTCTTTTGATTAAATTTAGCGTTACAGTACAGCATCATGTACAGAATTGTCTACTTTTCTGATACGAGCAGTGTATATGTTGTGTTTTATTTGTAGTATCAGCTTTACTGTGTCAGTGTGTACTTTTCTGATACGAGCAGTGTATATGGTGTGTTTTATTTGTAGTATCAGTTTTACTATGTTAGTGTGTTGTTCAGTATTATAGTAATATATTGCATAATATGTTTTTTCATTAGTAATGTGCGGAATTATAGTAAGTGTATAATAGTAAGTCAGTGTGATGTATAACTGCAGGCTTGAAATTCCATTGTTAGTCTTAAATTTTACTGTTTTTGTTTTACCTTTACCAGTTTTGTATCAATGCAGCTTTGTACTTCTAAGTATTTTTTTTTTTAATCTATGCTATCAGGAATGTCATATGTATTCAAGGTAGTCCTTTGTATTCCCTATCTAGATGTGACTCTGTAATCTTTTTTTTTTTTTTTTTTTTTTTAATTAGACTTAATAAATGTCTGCAGGGCGGACTGCAAAGGCTTGTTCCCGGTCAGTAGTCCTCCTTAGCAGTGTAAAAGTAAAAAAAAAGTAGTAGATATACCTGGCTTTTTTTCTCTTTCTGACAGACAGCTTGGCGGCGCAGTGGCTAGTATTTATAAATTTTATGCGTGGCAACACAACAGCTGAAATGCATTTTTAGAAGTGGTAGAAAGCAAGGCATTTCTGCAAATGTATATTTCTGATTTATCGATTATATTTAATGAGATAATTGCGTGCTTGCTTTCTTATTTTGTTGTTGTGATTTAATTGCATATAACGAAGCAATGAATAATAATTCTGAGCAATGAATAATAATCCATGAATCTGATTGTTGCAATTATATAAATATCCGTTTGTTTGAGGGAATTTTTGATAATAATGTAATCAATTACAAACTGGCTTGATTTTAAACGTTTGGCTAACTTCATTTGTAAATCTCAGTACCATGCATAATTTATTTGAAATGGATAATGTTTCAGTCTAATCATTTGCAGAATAAATTAGACCTTGCTTTACTTTCTTTTTTATTCCTCTAAATATTTTTGCAGAAACAAACTATTTCCCTTGAATTACAGAATTAATGGCATTCATTTTGTTTGGAAGAAATATTTCAATAATTAATAGTACACGAAGGCCATTTGGGAGGATATTAAAATTAAAACGTTTTTACAAATACTTACGCAAAGTGGCACGGTTAATTTGAAATTCATAGTTGCATAAATAATTAAAAATATCTAAACCTTTTAAATTATTCTCTTTACATTATGCTAGGTATAGCTTTTTTTCAACAGGCTGCTTAAATAAAAAAAAAATTAAAAGGAAAAAAGTTTGTTTGGCTTTTGTCTGAAGTTTTGTGAATTCGCAATTCAGAAATAAGGCTAAATCTTCGACTATATCTGAATTCACGTCGGGTTACAAAACATGAAAAAAGCTATGTCATGGAAAAATTATTTTAGCTGCGGATTTATTGCAAATACTCGGGTCAAGAAATCTAACAAGGTGAGTTACTAATTCTTTCGAATTTTAGAAATTTACTAGTGGGCTGCAGCTAAAGCAAAATTTATAAACACTACGTATCTCTGAAAGTAAATGTATGAAAACATTTCGATATGAAAGAAATTAGTTTATTCTTTCCAAGCAATAGCCTGTTCGCGAATAATTTTTTTATTGCCGAACCGGGAAACAAAAACTTTTGACGCTTCAGGTATCGCTTCATTCGTATGACGTCATGATTTAAATTTAATGTAATATAACAACTTTTTCTCGATAATGATAGAAGAACTAACGTACCAATAATATGTCGTGTCAATTATACTAACCTGAAAAAAAAAAAAAAAAAGTTACCAACAGCAGCTATTTATTATTTAAAAGGATGACCTTAACGCACAATTTTCGACATAAAGTGATGTTACATGCAATCGCGTGCTTTCTTCAACATCAGAATGTGACATTTTATAATAATAATATGTTTAATGTTTCAAAATGTTACTTTTATTTCATATTTTGTAAAACTTACAAATTTTTGATTAACAAATTCTACGATTTGAAAGCGAGCAGTATGAACACTTTTCGAAATAAAGCATTTTTTTCTCCAATGCACGAGACTGTTGTCCCTCGAGAAAATGAAGGCGAAAATTAGCGTTTTCAGAGTTTTTAATTAATATCTCCGCTAATTAAAATCGTACGAAGATCAGAAAGGATCCCACGAATTTTTTTAATGCGGGGGGGGGGGTTACTACTCTCTCTAAATTAAACTTGCCACCGTTCCGGAGGGAATAATGACTCAAACAACTAAAAAAAACGGACAGACGCCCACAGATTTTAATAGCATACATTTCATCTCTGGAATATTCTTAGCACTGATCATCTAAAGTGGGTTTAGATTCCTTAGTTCTGTGTGTATGCGGGGATTTTTTTTCTTTACTTATTTTGAAAATTTTTGGAGTTGTAACAGATGAAAATATTTTCAGATAAGTCCTGTGGGACTGCTAAATACCGGTAGTTCGGCTTAGGTTAAAATGCAGGCAGGTTTTCCCCCATATATAACGTGAATATGAATCAGTTAGAAAGTCCTTCCATGAAAACATCCTTCCCTTACGCGGATAGCCCTCGTATTCTGTCTATCCTCGTTGCCATGCTCAAATAATCTAATCATGTAGCCTGGAAATATCCATAAAAAATAATAATTGTGAAAAGAAATGTAAGCTCCTGCACACAATGTAATGTAAGCTTAACTCATGCACTTAATGTAATGTTTTATCACAAGCTGCCATTAAAATATTTAACTTTACAATCTTCGTCAATCCAATCTCTAACCTAAATTTTTCACTTTTGTTCTGTATACTGTGCGATATTAGTTAAAGTATAACATTTGAAAAGTTTCAGCAGATTAGAAAACATTAATGTAGATGCTCAGAAGATGACACAGGCACCTCGTTGCTGAAATATAGAACATAAAATACTAACAATAATCAATGAACGACTGGCTCACAAGTAAACCTTCTCTCCTTTGATACCGGTTTCTCGAAAACCCATATATTTTCTGAAAGCTTATGTCACAAGTAGAAAAACTGTGAAATCTTATTAGGGGCAGAGGGACAAGCGTTAAGTAGTTATAGGACCCATAAAGTGTCATTAAAGTGTGTATAGATGGACATATTTCACGTTATGACGTCTCTATTTCTTGTATGTTCATGCATTGTCTGCTTCCGAAGTACCCGATGGTAAAGTCCTTCAAAAAGAACTGGTACCTGAAGGATATACGGGAAAGATCCAGTCTCTGGGTATTCATTTATTCA